TGCATCGGCAGGCGGACTCTCAAGCACTGCGCCACCAGGGAAGCCCTGTGGAGGCTTCTTGAAGACAGTCCAAATGTTATGGATGAGTGTTCTCCCTTGCGTCTGCAGGACAAAAGGAAATCAATATATAGGCTTTCTAGATGTCTGGCAGTATTGAACCATGACAGAGTCTGGCAGGAAGTGGGGTTCTCAAAAAGCCAGCCAGTTGTTTTACCAGTTGTAGAAGAAACATTTATTCCACATGAAATGCTGAAAAATCTGACTTAAAGTATTGGTCCTTGGAGGATGCATCTGAAGGGGCTGTTAAGAATCTGACACCATGGAGATGTGCTCAGGGATTTTCCATCCTTTCCAGGGCTGTTGGGCTTTGCGGTTTCCTTTGTCACGGCAACATTAAAGTGACACAGCGTCTGTGAGAGTGGCATTTCGTCACAGCTGTCTTCTGCTTGTCTGTCAGGGAGGATGTGGAAAGTTTCTCTGCTGCATTTCTCGGGGATGAGGTGTCTGCCACACTCATCGTGTGGAGCACAGAATCCCTGGAAACTCTGGGCTTTGCATTGTAATTGACCGATAATAACTATGTAGGGATGTTAGAATATTCATATTCGTATACGTATGTATACACTTCAATAACAAAACCTGGCCATTTCTGGTACAAGGTAGGCGAGCGAATGCTTGTTGAATGCATGAGTCTCTCTTTATCATCCATAGATCAGCTCATTTGAAAAGTATCCAGAGAGTATACAAAACTCAGTTTTGTTAGATCGACCTTGGAAAAACACACGAATCCTAACAGGCTTTCCAGTTAATAGGTGTTCTGTACGAGATGCACATGAACCCTCTTTCACCACCAGTGATTAGACATGATGGGTTATTTTCTCTTGCTTTAGGCAGAGTTGCTCACCACCTCCCATGGGCTGCTGTTGTATCTCATTCACACCTCTGAGGCGATTATGTCACTGTATTTTAATTCTTTGTTAGTGTTTTTCGTTCAGTGCCTTGAGGGCGAGGACAGTTTCATCCTCTCGCTCTGCTCCGTTACTTGGTGCAGATTAGCACATCAGCAGTGCTGACTGCCAACTCTTTGTAGGAATCAGTTAGTGAACTTCTTGTTCAGAGCACCTCTTAACCTGAAACCTCTGGCAAGTCATGGCCTGTTCCTCAGTTGATTTAACAAACCTGAGTTTTAGTCTTACAGATCTTCCCCACCATCTTGACTTTCCAGCCCACTTGAAATAAACTTCAGACTCAATACTAAATGCTAAATTCCAGTCCTGCGTTTCATAACGGATTTGCCAAATTAAATAAGGGATGGGAGGACACAGACCGAGGCTTCTCAGCCCCAGGGATAGTACCCTCACCGCCAGCAAGTTCTCTGAGGCAGAGACACATTCACACTTGTGTCTGTGTCTCAGGCTCTGCCCCCATGACCTTCAAGTGCCACAGCCTAGGAGGTCTTGGATAGATGATTGCTGAGGGTGGCAAGTGAGTGATTCTCTGTTTTCATAGTTTAAAGGCCCTGTTTAGGGAAACTTATTTTTGATCTCTTCAGTACAGCACTTTTACTAGCATCTCCTATGTAGCAGGTACTGAGACAGGGACAGGGACTCTCTTTTTTGTTTGTTTGCTCTCCAGGAATATGTACAGATGACACTACAACTAACCAGCCCCCAGGGCAGACTGCAGTAGATAGATGTGTGATGTAGGCTGGGAGCCCAGAGGAGGTAGTGATTACCTTGATGGAACAGAGGGGAAAACTCTCAAGAAGGAGGTGGTTTTTGAGCCAGTTTTATAGGGACTTATTTTTTTTTGATATACTAAAAATATGCTTATTTTTATAGCTTGCAGATAATGTAGTAGGTGACTCATTTCGTTTTTTTCTTTTTCTTTCAATGGCTAGTACTTGAAATTTTCAAGACTGTTGAGAAGAGAACTTAGTAGGATTGGAAAGAGGATGATTCAGGCAATTTTTTTTTCCTGAAATTAGGCATTCTGAGCCCTTGATGACTTGATAATCACTGGAAGCTGAGTTACTCATAACATACCCGAAAATGGTCTGTTCACGTTTTTTCCTCCCTTCCTCAGAAACACAACAGATTGCTGAGAAGGGCAGATGCACAAATCTGATGAACTCTTTCAATTTAAAGAGTGCCCAGGAGTATTCATTAAATCAGTAGCCGTGCTGGAGGTCTGCTCTGCAGAGCTCCGAGTCCACGCTCCTGCCTTTGGGTCACTTATTAAATTAAACATTAAGCACATACCCACCCCGCACGGGCCTTACCCACAAATGATTAAAAAAAACTTCAGAACTTAACTCTAGTCTTTAATTTTTTTTTAATTGAAGTATAGTTGATATACAATATTATATGTTACAGGTGTGTACAATATAGTGATTCACAGTTTTTCAAGGTTGTACTCCATTTATAGTTGCTATAAAATATTGGCTATCTTTCCTGTGTTGTACAACTCTAGTCTTTAATTTATCTTGTCATCCTACTGTGTGGTGAGTGCTGAATTGTGTATTGATCATTTCTCCTTGGCATTTACAAAACTCTAATATAGGTCTATCTTAGCATTCACCACAAAGTCTGGCACACAGTAGGCATCAGTGAACAGATGGACAGGTAAGTGGATGAATAGGGTACTGTCACAATACTCATGAAAGTCCTGGGAGAAGCAGCGTTCCTGATAAAGCATCCCTGTTTCCAAAGGTCAGATACATAAACCATCCTTTTGACAGCCCAGCAAATCGCAGGGTGATACCTGTGTCCTTGAGCTCCAGGGGAGAAGCCTGGGGTTTCCGCCTTAAGCTCACTACGTGCCGTGACCAGCCTCAGGTCCCTTGGTCTCTCTGACTCTTGTTTTCTGAACTGGTTTCTTTAGGACATTAAATATCTGCATTCTGGTTTCATCTCTTAAACCCGTCTGATAATCCCCTCCCAACAGGTAACCTGTATGACTGTTTCTTCCTCTGGCCTCATGAAAAGTATCATGTCCCACCTGAAACTCCAGCCTAGTGAGCTAACCTTTCCTCCCTATCTTGTGTCAGACTCCCTTGATTTCTGACCTCATTTGTAAGGATTATGGAATGGACATACGGAAGCTGAGATCACAGCATTAGGATTTTGAAAAGTGAGAGATTCTAGTAGCGGAAGCACAGCAAGTTCTTCTCTGAGTCAGTGTATCCAGGTTTAATTATGAGAACAGTCAAGGTTATATGCAGGTACGTTTTTCTAGTAGATAATCCCAGGTGTTTTCTTTGGGGGCATCTCTTCCTAAACCTTGCTTTGCTGGACTCGGAACGCAAACGAATTGTTGTCATTGGCTTGATAGGTAGCGCAGAGTCGAGGCTGTTGGCTAACAGCAGGTTCTGCGGTTCACAGCAGACCACTTTCTAATCCATCCTCCCAGCACCCCCTGCTGTAGGTACCATCCATCGCCCCATTTTCCCGGTGAGGAAACATCACCTCTGTGGTTGAGTGGTTGAGTGTAAGACACTGAGCGACTTCGTCACGCCTGTGAGGGAGCTGACTTCAGGGCCCAGACTCTTTACTTGCAAGCGCTTCTGCCTGCTGACACATACAATGTGCCACAAGGCCAAGTGGAAATAATGTTTCAAGTTCATTGCTGTTTTCACTCACCTAACAGAGAAGACAGAATGTTTACTTTTGTGGATATTAATGCTTTATCCAGCCCCACTGATGCTTCATGAAACGGAGCCATAGAAATCAGTCTATTTAAAACTTTTGCCCACCCCTCTAGGTTTTTAAGATACCAGCCTGCCCTATAAATAAACATAAATTTAGTGAAAATCAGTCAACTCGAATGAAAAGCAGAAATTTTATTCATTTTCCAGGTAGAAAATTTAAGTCAGAGGAAAGAAATGTAAGCTATTCTCTGCAGTTTTATTTATTTTGTTTCTTAGACTTTCTGCCTTAGGTACTTGGCCCCTTCTGACGGAATCATTGAGAAGGGCCTCCACATAGTGTGTGGGGTTTGTAGGTTTTGTGGGATGATTTTGCCCAGTTCCTTGTGTCATGCACTTGGTAAGAATGTATCTGAGCTCACAGGGTGGCTGGTTGTGTATGAATTCAGTGGACAGATTTCAGTGTCATCTGTCATGGGAGGTTTAGTGGAGGAATGACATAGCAGCCTCAATTCAGTGTTTCTTGAGAGCCCACTGTACTCACCACAGTGCCCTATGCTGTTGTCAGACGTAAGAGCTTTATCTTTTCTGTGTTGTGTTTAATTCTGAGGAGCCCTGCAGGGCAGTGGGTTAACACACTGACTAAGAGACAGAGGCTCTTTTTTTTTTTTTTCCTGACACATAGTTGATTTACAATGTTGTGTTAATTTCTGCTGTACTGACTCAGTTATACACGTATGTCCATTCTTTTTTATATTCTTTTCCATTATGGTTTATC